AAAGTGGAATCCTGGAAATGCAGCGAGGTGTGGTGACAGCAGTCGCCTTGTGGGCGAGGGACTGACTTGCCAGCTCTGGGCAGGAGAGCACAGGGCTGGGTGAAAGCTTCTGAGTGCTCCAGCATCGAGTGCAGAGCGTGATGGAGAAAGGATTCTCTGCTTTTTAAGAAAGAAAAAGTTTTATGACGTTAGGTGTTGGAGAAAATGGACCTGTGAGAGGTTGAGAACCCCACGTGAGCTGTGGGCGCTGCTCTTCCCTTACAGATCTTTTGTACTTGAAGGCTCGAGAGGTTTTTTTTTCAGTGTGAGGAATGCAGTAATCAGTCCCGAGTGTCACTTTGCTGATCCGGTGTCCTCTGGAGATGTTAATTAGGGTGGTGAACCTGCAGCATGGGCAGTGCCTTTGGCCCGTGGAGGAGTTTTTGGCATGTCTGTGTTTACCTCCCTGTTTTCAGGTCCGTTTTCAAAACCAGGTGCCACTTTGCTGTGGCAGAAATAAAAAGTATTGAGTGGCTTGTGGCAGGAGTGAAAGAGTGAAAGTTGAGCCTGCTTTTAGAGCACTCTGAAGTCAACTCTGTGACTTGAAAATGTCTATTTTCTTTTTTGTGTGGGCCAGGGAGACGAGGTCCCCTTGGGTGTGTTGGCTTGGATGCCATTACAACTGGAACTTCTGGAGCCCCACCCAACTAGGACGTCGCTTGTTAGGCAGGAACTTATTTCTTGGAAGTGTTGAAAAATTGGCAGCTTTTCCTTTAAGATTTCACAGTTCTTGGTGTGTTTGCCCTAAATATTTTCTGCTGGAAAACGGCATTCACAGAGGTGGGATGTGTTTATCCAGATTAAAGAGGAGTAAACAGGAGATGAGTGGGAAAGAAAATTGTATTTAAGATCCTTTGGGTGCCCTAATGAAGAAAAAATGCCAGTGGGAAGTTGTTGTTTTTAAGAAAAACACCTTTTGGAAGGGGTGGGGAGGGCAGGGGGATGCTGACAGTGACCAGGTTGGTGGCACAGGGTATTTATGGCTTTTTTAACTGAGAGCACAAGGAGGTGAGTTGTCAGCAGTGAGCATGTGCTGAACTGGGAGGAGTGGTGTGAGTGAACACACCAGTTTGTCACCAACCAGTACCTGCTGGACTTGGAGGGGGGGCTGGTCCCATCTCTCCAGGTGAAGGTGGCCGTGCCCTGGGTCAGACGTGGGGTCTGGGGACAAAAAAGGCACCAAAAGCTTCCCAGGATGGCACAGAGGGACAAAACAGGGTGGCTACCACAGGATCTTGGGTCCTCTTGGTGCACCATGAAACAAAAACCACTCGTTTTACCTGAAAAACATCTGGTGGAGGGGGGGAAGGAAAGCCAAAATCTTGCTCGCCTCGCTCCTTCGAAAACCGCCCGAACGGTTCGCAGCGGGACGACTGACGTCTCCTGTGGTCTGACAGGCTTTGTGTTCCCTCCAGTATTGTAAGGAATAACAGTGCTGCTGCCTCTCCCCTGGTGTCACAGGGATAAGGCGCATCGGCAGGAGGCCCGACCAGCAGCAGCAGCAGCAGCAGCAGGGGGAAGGGAAACCCATCGACAGGAGGCCCGAGAGGCGACCTCCCCGCGAGCGCCGCTTCGAGAAGCCCGCCGAGGAGAAGGCCGAAGGGGGAGAGTTCTCTGTTGACAAGTAAGATTTGGGTTGAGGGATGGTTTTGGTTGTTATGCAGGCTCTGCTCTATTATTTTTCTGGGCTCTTCCATAATTCTGTGGAAAACTTGAGTCGGGTTTGAGGCTGGAAAGGATTTAAGGCGAACGGTTCCATCGGTAGAACTGAAATTGTGGTTGAGATCTCTAAATCTAGAGCAGATAACTCAGGAGACAACTCAGGTGTAGCTGTGTCCTGCAGGGTGAATTTTCTTTGCCGTTCCTGAGATCCATACAGCTGATTTCAGGCCAGTAGAAGTTTGTCACAGAATCATGGAATTGGTTTGGTTGGAAGAGAACTGTAAGATCAAGTCCAACCATCCCCCCAGCACTGCCAGGTCCCCACTGCCCCGTGTCCCTCACACCACATCTCCATGGCTTGGAAACCCCTCCAGGGGTGGGGACTCCACCACTGCCCTGGGCAGCCTGGCACAGCCCTGGGCAACCCTCCAGGGCAAGAAATTGTTCCTCAGGGACAACCTCAACCTCCCCTGGGGCAACTTGAGGCTGTTTCCTCTTGTCCATGAAGGTTTTTACATCTTGTCGTCAAAACTGGAAGCAGTGAAGCTGTTTTACATATATGCAAGATTAAACTGTCTCAAGTATCATGAGTGATCTAAAATTCAGGTGTTCTGGAAGTAACTTTCAAATACTAAAGTTTTAGTGGCCAAAGTTAAAATCCTTGAAAAGTAAGTTGGATGAATGTGAGTTAGATTGAAATTAAAGTCTCAGGTAGTTAGGGAATTCTTTTTCATGAAGAATTTCTTTCCTGCCAGAGTGGTGAAGCATTGGACCAGGCCCAGGGAGGTGCTGGAGTCCCCATCCCTGGAGAAGGTTCCAAAAAACCTGTGGATGTGGCCCTTGGGGACACGTTTTAGTGGCCATGGTGGTGTTGGGTTGACGGTTGGACTCGATGATCTTAGAGCTCTTTTCCAACTGTAATGATTCCATGATTCTTGTCAGATAACAATCCAGAGACTACATTTTGGAACTCAGTGCCAGAAAATAATGACCAGTGATCCTGAGTGTGTGTTCCTAGGCTCTAGAATGTGGCTTTTTGAGTGTAATAATTTGGCACTGAAATCAGAACCCAGACGCGGTAACACGCAACGGAAAAAAACCGATAACTCTCACAAACAAAAAAACCTTCAAAACCACGCCGGGGAGGACGTTTTGGGGATGAAATACTCACTTTGGATGTTCCATTCTAGACCCATTCTTGACCGACCTATGCGTGGCCGTGGTGGGCTTGGCAGAGGCCGTGGCCGTGGCCGTGGCATGGGCCGAGGAGACGGCTTCGACTCCCGTGGCAAGCGGGAATTTGACCGACACAGCGGCAGCGATCGATCGTAAGTCTTCACCCGTTTCCTCTTCTTCATTTTTCTTTGGGTTTTTTTTGGGGGGGTTATTCTTTACGTTTCGTTACACTCTTTTGAATTTCTGGACACTATAATGTTAACTCAGTTTTGGTAGTTCTGTTTCACATTCCCATTTCAGCGGGCTGAAGCACGAGGACAAGCGCGGCGGCAGCGGCTCACACAACTGGGGGACTGTCAAAGACGAGCTCACGTTAGTAACCTCTCTTTGCTCAGAAAAACTCATTAGCAGGGTGTTAAATGGTTGGAAAAGCTTTAGCTGCCTCTGGGTTTGGATCATTTTTGCCACGCTGTTAAAACAGCCTTTGCAGACCTCAGAAAATGGGTGATTTCTTGTAACGTAAAATGGGTGATTTCTTGTAACGTGAAATGGCGTCACCGCTAAAAGGAGGATGTGAGGGAACTTTGCAGTGGGAGAGGGTCTTGAGCTAGTTAAAAGTAGACTAATTTAATAATTCTCATTGGGTTATTATATTGAAATCAGTATTGTTTACACTTAGACCCATTTTGTCTCTCGAGGCACAACTGGAGCTTTCAGAATGGTTCCTAGTAGGTGTTGGGGGGAACCACGAGGAGCGTGGCATTTAAAAAGCCACAGAGAGCAGCAATCCTTAATGAAATAGCTTTAATGGAAGGGTGGGTCGTGTAAATCCACTGTAGATCTTAGTCATTGATCTTACGTAGCTCTAAGTAGGGAGGAATTGTTCAAAAACCAACCTGTGGACGTGGTGTAATTGCAGCGAATTGGATCAGTCAGCTGTAACTGAGGAGACGCCGGAGGGAGAGGAACATCCGCCTGCTGATTCCGAAAACAAGTGAGTCCCACCACTCTGGGTGCTCTTTGACTGCTTCAGAGCAACTATGACTTTGCCTTGAGCCTCCAAATTTACTCTTTTTTTTCTGCTTGGCCAAGCTCAGGCTCTGTTTTCTTCAGGAAATAGGAGATTATCAGCAGTGCTCCTGGAAGAGCATCTGTTTAAAAGTGGTTATCGTGAAACTTGCTGGTGTCACGCAGGCTCTTGGGTCACTTTCAGATTGAGTCATGAATAATCACTTCTAATATGCTTAGAGCCTTAGGATTGCAGCTCCTAAGCACCAAATCCAAGAGCATTTGTGCTCATCACTAGGTGGAACCAAGCAAAAGGGACAAAACCTTCTTCTGCCAGTGGAAGGCACTTTTTTTCAACTTAGATTTTCACAACAGCTGTTGAGACTGTGACTGGAGAGGTTGTATCTCTTGTTCTCCAGCTTCTGTGCATGCAGGGAAGGTCTTCAAGAAGTTAACTTGATCGTTTCTCTGTCCACTTGGACACTTAGAGAAGAAACCAAGGACTGGAGGAATGAAATAGAGGAACTAGAGAAGCAGAACGTGCAGGAATGATACTTGAGAGTTGGTGTAAAAAAACATGATACAAGTTTTTATGATGGCATAGTACAATAAATTGTATTTTAATGAGGGTTGTGCTTCATGGTGAGTTGAAAAGAAAATGGCAAACAGAGGAGATAGAATTTTGAAATACTTGTTTTCATGAAATTTCCAACTTGGAGTTTGCTATAGCTTGATAACTTTGGTTATGGTAGAATGTACAATTACTGCCTAGAGAATAAGAAATGGATTTAGATCTTTGCCTTGAACACAAGAAATTACTTCTGACTAGATAGAATGTCAAAAACTGTCCTACAGAATAAGGAAGAAATTGAAATACAGCAATTTTGACGTAAACCCTCAGCATTATTTCCTCAGAATTAATTACTACAAAATGAAGGGTGCTTCTCTTGAGGCTTTCAAGGTTTTTGCTGTGCAAACATGGCACTAGTTCTCTATAAATCAGCAATTTAGTTGTTTAAGCACCCTGGAGAATTACTAGACAAGACTTACAGTGAGGTGCACTCCACAAATAACTGAGTTTCATTCTCTTGTTTTTTTCAAGTTACCTGAAAGTAAAAATTGCTTCAGTTAGCTGGGAAATGACTGATTGGTTTTGGCTCAATAAAGGAAGCAGACTATCCAGAGCTGGTTAAACTCTGGCTTGTTAAAAACTTAACAAGCTTGAAAGTGGTGGTAAGAAAAATCTCTCAGGGCTTTATCTTGAACCTTTGGGAGAGAGGTGTGTCAAAAAAACTCTGGGCAAGAACAGGCAGGTTAAGTCAATGTGAATTTTAACATTTTTCTGCACTGTGCTCACTATTTAGTTGTCCAAAGGTGTCCAGCTGTGATTTAGGGGGTTTTTTTTTGGCAGTTTGGCTCAAGGAGATGAGTTTCACTGTATGTTTTCTGAGTGTTGGCAGTGAGAGCGTTTCATATCCACCTCTTAACGTGCTCCGTACTTCACAAACTTTGGTGCTGACAAAACTGGTTCTGAATGAGTGAATTCAAAGCCCTGATGATGATCATCCCCACGAATTCCCTGCAGAGAGAACGAGGTTGAAGAAGTGAAGGAAGAAGGCCCTAAGGAGATGACCCTGGATGAGTGGAAAGCCATTCAGAGCAAGGATCGTGCAAAAGTGGAGTTCAACATCCGCAAGCCAAACGAGGGTGCTGATGGGCAGTGGAAAAAAGGCTTTGTCCTTCACAAGTCAAAGAGTGAGGAGGTAAAGTCAGTTTTACTAACATCTAGACTATATATCTATTTTTTTTGTCTGCTATTGATAACACATTTTGGGGTGGAAGCTCCATTTGCTGAGGTGCCGGCCCTCGGGGGGGAAAAGTTTGTAAACATTTCTTACCAGTTATGAATTTGTCAGCAGCCATTCTTACTGTGCTTGGTTTGAGGAGCTGATCTGAACTCAGGTTGCTGTGTAGTGTGATAGGATCTGGAGATGCTCCAGATCTGGGCAGGGGACTTGGTGAGGACTGCTTAGGGGGCATTGGACAAAAAGTTTGTCAGTGTATTTGCTTTTTTTTAAAGGAATCTCCTCTGTTATTTAGTATTTTTGGTAGTGAGTTGCTAAATAAAAGGTTAAACATGGTGCAAGAGTGAAGAAACACTGGTCATGCCTCAGATACACTAATACCTAAACAGTGTGTCTTAAGTTGGTGAGAGAAGTGACTTCTCATTTTGTAATACTACACAGACAAGTGTCCTGAAGCTTTTGGGAAATACATTCATGGGCTTTGGTGACACTAAATGTAGACACCACACTTGATGTAGAATCACCTTAAAATTGTCCTTTCTCCAGCATGCTCATTTCAGTCAAGGCACAATCTTCTGTTCCAAGACAGAGCAGCAAGGAGAGACAGCCTGTAATTGCAGGAGGGGAGGGAGGTGCTGAGAGCTCTTGTTTCCTTAAGCTTCAGGTTTAATCTTTATTTTTAACACTTCAGTGGTCCACTGTTAATCCATGACCTGCAACTTTATTGACCAGCTGGTTCTGACTCCTTTGAAGTAACCAGATTGTAATAATGCTGTTGGGTCTTTTAACATCTATTTTTGCCTTTTTACACCTTGGCAGTTTTTTTTCTTGTCATTTGGGGTCATAATAAGATGGGGAGGAGCCTTCCAAGGCAAACTCCATCTCTAATCTCATTGACCTCAAGATGAGTTTGACTTTGTGACAAGGGTGCTGGTTTTTTAGCTTGCTATGGAAGGTAGTTCAGTTCTTAAAATAATTGTCTGTGGTTTTCTTTACCTTGAGCTGTGCAGTGTTTGAAGGGTTCATTAGTTTTTTTCCTCTGGCTTGTGTAGAAAAGGGAACCTGAGACTTGTGTTGCTGTATATTAAGAGTATATTTAAACAGAGGTGTCTGTCCTTTACCAAGTTCCACCAGCCCAAATCTCTCCCAAGCAGATTTGACATTTAGTCACTTGAAGTCTATCTTTTAACCTATCTGTCTGTAAGATGGTGGTGCCCTTGAGTAATGTAGAAGCTAGAAATATTTTCCATTTGAAAAATGAATCAGTTAACCCAAACAAAAAACCCAAACAAAACCAATGAGGATAACTAATCAAATTACTTCCATGGGATGACTGACATAATTAGTAGATTGTTCTCTTTGAGGGGTGTATTTGGGTAACTTCAAAGAAAGCAGTGGAATATTTTTACCACTCTCATGGAAGAGGTTAAAGAGTTTCTTGCTGTGTAAGCACAAAGTGAGTTACTAACAAACAAGCTGCTAAATGTAGATGCTTTTAGTCTGCTTTTGTCTGTCCAACAGATGTCTGTCTCTCCCCATTTCACCTCCTCATTGTTCCCTGATCCCTCAGGAAGCAGCCTGGGGAGTTTTTTTTTGCTCAGCCTGGGGTGTTTCTTTGCTAAGTTACAGCAACTGAACTGTGTCACAGGGTGGTTGGGTTCAGAAGGTGGAATATTGAGCAGTTGTGAACAAATCCCACCAATCACTTGCTGTTCTTCTCTTTCTCCTCTGGGACATGCTTATGAATCCTGAAATTAAGGTGGTTGTGATGTATCTGTGATTCTTCTTGATGAGAAAGGGGTTGATGTGTGGAAGTGACTTGGTTCCTAGGTAAACTCTGGGTTTCAGCCCCAGATCTTCTCTGCTGTGCTTAAAAAGTCACAGTGTGCCCAAATAGACTTGCTCAGATGTTTGAGGTGTTGTGGTGACTCTCCCCCATGGCTTGAGAACTGCTGGGAGAATGCTCTGTGGGAAAAAGGGGTGTGGGGGTACAGTGCTGTTCATCTGCCTGAGGCTTCTCAAAGAGCTTTTTGTCTTCCTCAGGCTCTTCACTGAGGGCTGAAACACCTGACCCTGTCTGAGCTCCTTCCTCTTCCTCACATGTACTGTGCCACTGCTAGGAAGTGATACTTTGCAGAGATGACCTTAGTCCTGTCTCAGATTCTTGCTGGTTTTAATGTGAAGTCTGTGTTTTGGCAGACCTGGTCTAATGAGACTCCTTCCAGGAGTTTGGGTTATGCTGTAAAATAGAGATCCTCTTTTATTCCTTCTCTGTAGCTGGTTCAGTGGCTGGAGCTTTAGAAGTTCTGGTGCAGCTGAGGAGAAAATGGGAAGGAGTTACACTGTGGAGAGATCTTAAAGTTGGCTCCAGAAGTTGGATACAAGTCTCTTGGCAAGATGGATACACTAATAGATCAACTCCTACACTGTCTATCTGCTGTGCAGTGCATCTCTCCTGGGCCTTCCAATTCCCTGCTAATTGCTTCCTTAGAGGAGGTTGCAGAGGGAGAATGAGAAGGATGTTTTGTAAAAGAGCAGTTGATCTTCTCAATTTCACCTCACTCCAAGAAGGACCTTGAAGGGCTGGAGCGTGGCCAGAGAAGGGCAACGGAGCTGCTGGGGAAGGGTCTAGAGCCCAAGTGGGGGGAGGAGCAGCTGAGGGAGCTGGGGGTGCTGAGCCTGGAGCAAAGGAGGCTCAGGGGAGACCTTCTGGCTCTGCACAGCTCCTGACAGGAGCCTGGAGCCAGGGGGGGGTCGGGCTCTGCTCCCAAGGGACAAGGGACAGGACAAGAGGAAACAGCCTCAAGTTGCCCCAGGGGAGGTTGAGGTTGTCCCTGAGGAACAAATTCTTGCCCTGGAGGGTTGCCCAGGGCTGTGCCAGGCTGCCCAGGGCAGTGGTGGAGTCCCCACCCCTGGAGGGGTTTCCAAGCCGTGGAGATGTGGGGTGAGGGACACGGGGCAGTGGGGACCTGGCAGTGCTGGGGGAACAGCTGCACTCCTGATATCTTGAAGGCCTTTTCCAACCAAGTGCATCCTGTGACTCTGCTCCAAGCCCTGGATTGTGACTCTTGAATGAGGCCCTGGGGTGGGCACGTGTGGGTGCCCTGCTCTCCATCCTCCAGCCTGCCTGGCTGCTCCTCTCAGTCTCATCCTCCTCCTGCTTTGTGTGCTCGGCCAGCTCTGTCCCCAGCAATTCGTGTCACCCCATGACCTGTTTTTTTTTTTATTTTTATGGAGTTGAGTCTCATTTCTGCCTTTTGTTTTCTCCCTCTGTTCCCTTTGCCCTCTGGCCTGGACACCACCCTGCGTCAGACAAAGGCGATGGCAGAGACGCAGGGGAGCCAGCTGGAGTCACACGAGGTACTGATCCCTCCTACCCGTGCCCCTCTCGTCCTCCCAGCCCCTCCTGCACTCCAGGGCTGCCCATCAAGGAGTCACAAAACCAGGGAATTGGAGCAGATAACACTCTGGAGCTCCTGTCTCCATGTCTGCTCTCCAGCTGAGCACCACACGGGACCCTTGCTCCTCGCCGAGCTGAATCCAAACCTCATCTTGAGCTCTTCTTCTCAGGAGTCTTTTAATTTTTGTTGTTGCCCTTGGTTTTTTTGCCTTTCTCACCATCTGCTTTGGCTCCTTGCTCTTAGTAGGTTGTCTTCCATTTCTCATGGCCTCCCCCAAAACCCACAAATGCAGCAATTCCTTCAGGAACCTCTTGGTTACCAGATCAGAGCACTGTGGAGAGCTGCCAGGACAGAGAAATGAAATCCTTTCAAAAGATGTCACCCAAATCCCTTATTTGTGGTCGTGTCTAGGTCTGCTGTCACCTGAGTGACAGAAGAGGATGAGGAGAACATGCCAAGTCTTTTGTTGGTGATTTAAATTAGCTTTAGATGAATAAATCCTGAGGTTACATATAGAATTTGCTGTTGGTTGGTTAAGTTGTGAAGCTGTGATGGTTTTGGTAGACTCTAGTGTGGCTTTTTTAAGCAGTAGCAGCATTGGGAAGGGAAGGGATGGAGGTTGTTCCATGGAATACATCCCAGTGTAGGTTGGAAGGGAAGCTGTGTGGAGTGGTGCTTCTCCTTGTGCCTAGTTGAATCGTGGTACCCAACACTGCTGTGGAGGCCAAAGGTGGGAAGGGATGGTTAGATCAGTAGGGAAGTTGTTTATTAGCTCAGTTGGTGAGGGATAAGGTTCTTTAGAGAAAGGTTGGAAAGACCTCTAAGATCAAGTGCAACCATCAACCCAACACTGTGGTGACCACTGCCCCGTGTCCCTCACCCCACATCTCCACGGCTTGGAAACCCCTCCAGGGGTGGGGACTCCACCACTGCCCTGGGCAGCCTGGCACAGCCCTGGGCAACCCTCCAGGGCAAGAAATTGTTCCTCAGGGACAACCTCAACCTCCCCTGGGGCAACTTGAGGCCCTTTCCTCTTGTCCTGTCCCTTGTCCCTTGGGAGCAGAGCCCGACCCCCCCCTGGCTCCAGGCTCCTGTCAGGAGCTGTGCAGAGCCAGAAGGTCTCCCCTGAGCCTCCTTTGCTCCAGGCTCAGCACCCCCAGACCCCTCAGCAGCTCAGTTGTCCTTCTCTGGCCACACTCCAACCCCTCAAGGTCTTTCTTCTCCTGTGGTGCCCAAACCTGACCCCACCCCTCCAGCTGTGGCCTCCCCAGTGTCCAGTGCAGTGGTTTGATCAGTTCCCTGCTCCTGCTGGACATGCTGTTTTTGATCCAAGCCAGGATGCTGGTGGCCTTCTTGGCCACCTGGGCTCACACTGGCTCATCTCCCGCTGGCCACCAGCACCCCTAGGTCCTTTCCCACCAAGCACTCCCCAGCCTGGAGCTTGCAGGGGGTCGTGGCCCAAGTGCAGGATTTGGCCCTGGGCTTCTGTGAGTGACTGAGAGGAGTCTCTGAGAGCAGCTTCAGCCTTTTGACTGCAGACCCCTCAGTGTCCACTGGCTGCC